TAAAAAAAAAAAAAAAAAAAAAAAAAAAAAAGAAAAAGAAATGAATACTAATCGTCACCCCCCGAAACGATCCAACCGTAACTCCCGTATGCCTGCCTATATCCATTTATCTCCGTGGTGAAACTTAAGCCTCGCCATAGCCTACTCGAAGTTAATCGCCCGCTGCCCAGCTCCGATCATAAGCCACAATTTCCTTGTACACCCAAAAATGAAAACGGACACGCCTCCCCAAAGATTACATCACTCCCTTAACTCTCGACCTGTCAAACGCTTCCCAGTGACACTCGGTAAGCCCTTCCCTCTTTTCCACATTTTGGGGGCGAGTCATCTGACATGACATTGGTGCATCTGCGTCAAGTGTGGGCAGCAGCAGCCATATTGTGGCTAGTAGGCGCCGATTAGTCCCGTGGCCATATACCGCTTCTCGGGAGCGATAGGGAGGGGACCCCCACGACATTTTTCTGCACCAGCGTCGGCATAACAGCTCCGTCGTAAGCGTGTCGCTTTGGTGGCGGCTGCACGCGTGGTGACGCTGAGGGGGCGTGTCGGCTCTCTTGGGAGCTTTCCTGTCTAGGGGTTATCGACGAGGGACGGAACACGCATCGAGCTTCCGTCTTGGGCCTTAAGAGCGCATCCCCTTATCGAATCCACCAATAGCATTTTGCTACGAAAATTCACCAATTCCTGCAAATGATGTGGGCATTCGTATCCTCCCATCATGATTAATTAAGGCTACATTGCTCGCGGTGGGAGTGACGGGTAAGCGATATTTTTTCGCGGGTGACAGATGTGTCACTTGCCCAAGATAGTAGCGTAACCCCCGGCCCCAATTACTCTCGATATTTCGCATGCTAAGATTATTATTATTATTATTTTTCACGCCCCTCTGACTAGACTCTGGCTATACCTGCTCGTTCGCTCACATTTGCTTCACAATCGCTCACACCCGCTTCAACACAGCCACCAGCTCCACGTGGTGGGTATTGGGGAAGAAGTCGAACCCTTTCACTTCCTCGACCACGTACCGGCCATTGGTGTTTTTGATAAAGTACTCGACGTCTCTGGCTTGCGAGTGGACGTTGCAGGAGATGTAGACGACTTTTGCGGGGTTGAAAGTGGCCAATTGGCTGAGGAACACTTCATCACACCCCTTTCTCGGCGGGTCGAGAATTACCAGAGTTTTGTTGGCGTCGACGTCTAACCCTTCAAAAATTTGTTCGGCTTTGCCCACGACAAACCGAGCGTTGGCGACTTTATTGGCTTCAGCGTTGCGTTTGGCGAAAGCCACCAGATCGGCACTGACTTCAACGCCAATCACTTGGGAAACCCCCTCGGAACAGGTGATGGAGAAAAGACCCAGACCGCAGTAGGCATCGACAAGCACCGGCTCCTCTACGCCTACAAGCAGCAAGTGTGATTTCACGTATGAAGTGACTGCGGGAAGAATCAGGTTGTTATTCTGGAAAAACTCGCCGGCAGAAAACTCGAACGTATACCCGTTGACGACTTCGTGGACGATTTGGCGGGTATTGGTGGCACACAGTTTGCGGTAGCCGTTCTCTTCAAGGGTGGAGACCTGGCCCTCGGCGTCAGTCAGACCTGCGGGAACATCAGCATCCAACGGAGTGGTATCTTCACGTAACAAGATGGTGGCGCCACGACGGTAGTCCTTAAACGTCTTTGTAAGCCGTAACCGTTCGTTCTTCATCCCCACGTTGACGATTGGAGTACCAATGACACACTCCTCGATATCTAAGATCAGTTCTGATCCACCAGGAGTTTGACGCCATTCAGGACGCCCCTTAGCTCCAAAACCTAACGGAGGACACAGCTCAAGCGGCTTATTGTGCTTATAATTGGCCATGGGCATATTGAAGTGTGGAGTCAATTTGGTACGGTAGTAGTACTGTTGCGGCAGCGATTGTGTCGGCGATACTTCAGGGATCTTAGTGGTCTTAGCGAAGAACTTGTACGCGTTGACGATCGTCTGGCGCTTAAGTTCAAGCTGATTGTCATAGGAAGTGTTTTGGAACTGACACCCCAGACAGCGGCCAAAATAGACACACTTGATGAGCGAGTCGTCTCTTAAGTCCAGCAGCTTGGTCACTGCCAACAAATCGGCCTCAACGTGGGTGGGGTGGCTCTTAAACACCCGGATCGTCACCTCATCACCAGGATAGGTGAACGGCACCACCACCACCCGCGGCTTAGTGATGGCCTCAGTAGCTGGTAAAATGGCAAGCCCATCGCCGTTGGACGTGTGTTTGACAATTTTCACTCCCTCAACGGTGGCATGAGCAGTATCCTTGTACTCTTCGTCATTTAAGACTTTCAGGATATCGATTTCCACCGCGTCTCGGTCCAATTTGTGTTCGGCGATAAGCTCATCAATCTCATGAACGAGCACCCCTAACGGCAGCCATTCTTCAGGCGCTTTGGCTCGGTACTTGCGCCGGCGAGGACCGTTATCGTTCCCCAGTCTCTTCTTCATATCACGCTCTGTATGGGGGTGGTAGCGCGCGATGAGGGTGTGCGATGGACTGCTAGCAGCGCGGACAAATGGCGTCGGGGTAAATCGTAAGCGACGAGCAGGAGGAGCCGTGGCAAGCCGACACCCTGTGTCTTAATTGAGTAAGCTAATATTCTCAGTAGGCTTTTACAGAGGCATTGTGTGGTGGTGACGTCATCAGTGTGTGAGCCTCAGGCACTGAGGGGAAACGTCACCTAAATCTCAAGACAACCGCACTATAGCCAGGGAAAGAACAATGACACTCCGTCTAAACAGACAAATTAAAATTTGCAGAACTGTAATTGTAGTCGGCGTCGCCAGGTGTCTCTCTCGCGTTAACACGTCGTGACGCATTGTTACCCTCCCGCCATTACGAGACGATCTCGTTTTTGTGTTCTTTTGAGGGTTACCCTTTTGCCGTCCGATCCTTGGCCCATGCGTACGCCCCAAAAAAATTGAGCGACGTACGTGCTGCTGGTGGCCTTATTCTGTCGACAGCATCTGCCAGCACCTGCCTGCACCCTAGTGATTTCTATTGCTCACCTGGGGAGAGACTAAACTCGCCCTCAAACCTGGGGGAAACTCGCCACTACCAAATTTGAAATCTAAGTTGAGGGGCTATCACCGCCACCGACGCATTTCAGGATTGGGAACCCGCAAAAGGGGCGTCAGACACTGGCAACACTCTCCCCACCCAGCCTCGACCCGTACAGGTGTCGGCAGCACCCAAGTTTGTGGGACAAACCCGACATATGCATAAACGTATCAGCACTTTCCACCCGCTCCGAGCGGGATAGTCCGGATGCCTCGAAGCAAATCAAGCAGGACCAAAATGATCAGCCGCTGGAGAATTGATTGTGGGGGAGGCCACTAAGGGGGGTGGGAAGACGCACCTATACTTAGGGTGACGTTGGGCGGCACTATCAAAAAGGGTATACCCCTCAAAAAAGCAGCCCCGGGCCTCGCTGCACGGTTGACGTGACCGGCTTTTTGTGCCACTCATCCAAGGAAAAGTGCTCCCAAGACAATTAGACCATATGAAGGGCGAATGGCTTGGCATTTGCAGGTGGCCCCACTGGCCGTACCCTCAACGGCTGAGCTATTGCGATAGCCGGAGATCGGGAGAGGAAATCACTGGTATACCAACAAAGCCCTCATCTGGCAATTCAAGGAGGTAAAAGGAATACGAGCGGAAGCCAACGTTTAGGGATAAACTTGCCCGCCTCCTCGTTTGGCTCCACCAGGGGCATCGGTAACGTATGTTTGACTTGCCCAATCCAGCGGCTCCCAACCATCCATACATTTGTTGTCATATGCAGACACATGCACGATTCAACTGGAGACGCGGTCATTCTGTCAATCTACATGTATGCGGCAAATTGGTCCCCCCCCCCCTCACCCTCAGCCACTGATGTGGTGTGAGATTACGGGGCGAGATTCTGAGCTCGAACATCGATGGGGCTGAGGGTTACAGGTACGGCGATCCCAGGAGGTGTGGCACCAGTTGGCCCGGCGTGGTTCCGGGCCGGCTTAGCGGCATTGATGGAAAATTGTGCGGGTATTATCCCGAAAAAAATAAAATGTCGTCGGTTTGTAACGCCGCTTACAATCTTTTCTTTGATTAAAATAGGGAAGTTTTTCAGGTAGCCGACAGCTCGCTCCTGGGGAACGAATGGTTAATCCCCTTTCTGATTCGACCTCGCGGAGTTTAACCTTTTTTCATGAGTGCGTGGGGGTCCCACAGAAGGTGGAGACGAACCAGTCACAAATTGTGTCCACTTGCCACAATTGTCTCCTTGGAAACAAAGAGCGTTGCGCCGCCTATGCTAGATATGTAAAGATCGGCAGTTATTTCATACCACGGGATCCATCTAGACCATTCCGTAGCCGGGGTCGTGACGGCGATTTTGTACCCGGGTGGTATCCCCCACTCACAGGTTCACGAGGATGCCACTGCAGAAATGCCACTAGATTTGCATTTGCTAGCTTATGAGATCTCTCGTCATGCAATTCCAGTAGAATTGTGGGAGTTACTTGTGGCCTCATCCGTATTCCTTACCAAATAGCTTTCTAAACATTGAATGACCTTAAAAGTTTCAGAGGCTAGAATTGCAATGTCTCTAGTACTTACTGTTCTCCGAGTTACCCCATTGGCTATGCAGCCTAATCATTCGGTCTCCTGTTCCAGATTTATTCATCTGCGACCATGCTCCAAAGATCGCACCTTGTAGTCAAAGTGGCAGTCACCATATTGTCCAACTATTAAACTTTTTCGATGAGTAATGACAATGGTGGGTGCCAAGATATTGACAAATCGTAAGGCAATCCCGAAATCGTGAGACACCGGCTCGGTTAGAAGGCAAATCTATGACAAACAGCGCCGTTGGGATTGTTCCATGTCAAACGTGCCTTTGAAATCAGGCTATACTTACATCATGGAAGCCCCAACCACAGCAGACAGGCATGGGGCGTTAGGAAACTGTCGGCCCGATATATCGTAGCGATACGACCGGTGTAGTCCGGCTGAGACCTGTCGGACACCAGGGTGTTTCGCTAGACACTTCCGTCATTGACACTTATCAGGAGTGGTGGGTTGAAATGACATTTTACGTCGGTTATAATACAATTATCTACCACATCTACACTTTGCGAGTTGAAATTACGATATGCCATTAAATTAAAGACGGGGGTGCCTAGGGGTCGTTGGTGTACTTGGCGGGCATATTCACCACCAACCACAGCAACGGGTACCGCTTGACCAGCCCGTTGACGTTGTAGCTGCGGTGCTCCTCCAAGTCGGCGATGATCTCGTCCTCGGTGTACCCTTTCTGCTTCCCCACCTCGATCGCCTCGTAGATCTTCTTCCGCCGCAAGAACGTGCGCAGCTCGGTCTCGTTGCGCCACTTGGTGCCGTACTGGAGCTCGAGCTGCTTGAGCGGGGGCTTGTCGTTGAGCCCGTACTCGTACTCGCGCCAGATCTCCAGGATCAGCTTAAGCAGCCGCTCCATGCGGTACTTGGGGATGTCCTGGTGGTCGTACTTCTCGTCGCCGGCGCTGCCGTCGTGGGAGTTGACGCGGTGGGGCATGCCACGGAGGGGCAAGTGCGCCTGCTGGCCCTGGGGCTGGCCCTGGGGCTGGAGTTGGGGTTGGAGTTGGGGGCGGGGCAACTGGGGTGCCGCAAACAGGTTGGCCAACCCTGGGTCGGG